CATGTGCTATCTGGGTAATTATTTGAAATAGAAATTTATGACGAGATTTAGGGTGGAAAAAAATGCTTTCCATTGTATTTGACATTGGGACCAGCATAGTTTGAGAAAAGCATAGAAAATACAATATATGGACGATTTACATCTAAACTTGTTTGAGACTTTTGTGATGTCTTTTGTTTCTTTTGTTCTATTAAAACTCAGAACACGGTCATTTTTAGTGCATTTAGCACCACATTAGTTCAAAGCAAGAACGAGTCAAACCTTGACTGAAACAAACCAGAAAAACGCTGCTGAGATCTATGAAATATCACAAAAGTCAATACTTTAGACTAAAGGAACCAGCAATGAGTGATTCTAATTTTGTTAAAAGAATAAACATGAACAGGAGGTAAAGCTACACCACTTAGCATCGTTTCTGCTCTCAGATCACATCCTTCTCACTAGCACTCTGTAAACAAGATTACACACACCTTTCACCTACAAAGTGCAACGAATAAATCTTGTGCTTACGATAAACAGTGTGTGAACCCTGGCAGACGAGCAATTACTCTACTTCAAAGTTCACTGCTGTGTTAAAAGGTTCTGGTGTAGGGAGTGTCCATTTGTGAATGTGTGTGTGGGTGTGTGTGTTTGACGCCTAGACTTGCTCTGACCGCTTCACTCTCTTTTTTTTTTTTTTGTATTTAAAAGGTCACGCAAACTGAAATGACCTTTTCTGTGAGCTTGTTATGGTGAAGAAACTCTCAAGCGTCTCAGGTGTCACCCTGCTTCCTTTAAGCTGCATCAGAACTCTGCTTAGACCTCAAGAATAATCTGTCAGATCATTTTCCATCATCTTTTTCTAGACTATGTCTCACCTAACAAACATCCCGCAAATGCGGTCTGAAGTGTTGCTTGTCCCTCTGTCTGTGTGTCCCTTCAGGCTTCTCGTAGGAGCGCCCAAAGAAAAAGCCAATTCTCTTCCAAATGTCAACGAAACGGGCGCCGTGTACGCCTGTCCAATCAGCGAAGACCGCACAGACTGCACCAGGATGGATCTGGTCACATCAAGTAAGCATGATGCGCAGCTGCGTGACAGGATTACCTGCTCACTTGTGACGTGACAAAGGAAAACATATCAAATTTTTCAGGTTTTTATTTTAGTGTAGTTTTTTTTTTTTTTCCTGCAGAGCCACCTAGTGGTCAAAATGATCCATTTCATGTGTATTTCCAGATCCATCAACTGGTTGCTCTGAACTTTTTCATTAGTTTTGATAATAAATTCTTGTTTAGTTCTCCTGTGATGGACATAGGCTTCTAAAAACAAAACATTGTTTCATCTCAGTTTTTGTTTGGGATTTTTATGAAGATGGATTTGTAAAGATGAGTTTTGCTCTAGAAAGTGCAACACGATGAAAAACGACCCAAAGCCTTTACTGTGCCATGAAAACATTTAATGTTTCAGATTCAGATGACCAAACAAACTTTCATAACAGACAACACAAGTGCACTTGAAGCTGCTCTGTAACTTTTACAAAAAATTTTTTTTTTTTTTTTTTTTTTTACATATTTGTTGAAACTTCCAACACAAATAATCTGTGGAAAAAAACTGAGTTGCTCCGCCTCTTCCAAGCGCCAACTTGAAACAACCAATCAAAGCCAGGGGGGAGGGTCTTAGTACTGTCAATCATACTAAGACCCTCCCCCAATCACACCTTGTCCATTGGGGGCAAGGTGTGATACATCTTCTCCCCATCAGCAGAGCCTGTTGTGACTGCCTAAGAATAAGAATAAAACCCCAGAAATCTCATTTATAAATGAGTCCTACTTTCCTACCTCCAGGCCTTTACTTTCTGTTTGGCAGATCAAATGAATTTCCAGGATTCAGGTTTATTAATCTTGCTTTTTAAGCTCCAGGATATGAAACTTCTGGAGCTACATATATTTTAATATTCAGGTTAGGACGGTAGCTGCTCCAGTCAAAGCACATTTTCGCGGTTAATGTTTATCGGGCGTGATCGTGTCTTAAAGGCTTATCACAGTTTGGATCAGTGTTCCTCATGTTGGCTGTTTATTCAAATCTTGCAGCTGACTGAAGTGATCTGATCTGATTTACTCTTTGGAAATTTTAGTTTTTAAATGGTTCAAAGCCGCCCAAGAACATGGAAGCAGGTGGAGTTTGGTTCTTGTGAGCTCTTACTGTTTAGATTCGATCCTGTTTTGGGTCATTATCCTGCTGAAGGACCCAATGATGGCACATTTTCTGTTCAGTAGAAAATTCACCGTATTTTTTATTTATTTTTTTACTTGTGACAGAAGAAGCTTACATCACTTCCATTTTCCCTTAGAAGCAGTTAGCTAACAGAAGATTTTAAACATTATTTTCTACCAAGAGAAACCTGGATTCCTGTCTAAGCTTGTCAAAGAAAATTCCAGCTATTTCCATGTTTTATTTAGGGCCAGGACGTTTTCAATGAAATAGTTACAAAGATTTTAACGCGTTCAAAAATTGTTAGGGGCTTCACAGTGCTGCAGTTGGTAGAGCTGTTGCCGTGCAGCAAGAAGGCTCTGGGTTCGATTCCCGGCCCCGGTCTTTCTGCATGGAGTTTGCATGTTCTCCCTGTGCATGTTGGGTTTTCTCCAGGTTCTCTGGCTTCCTCCCACAGTCCAAAAACATGATTGTCAGGTTAGTTGGTTTCTTTAAATTGTTCCTAGGTGTGAGTGTGTGTGTGGTTGTCCTGTCTGTCTCTGTGCTGCCCTGCGACAGACTGGTGACCTGTCCAGGTTGACCCTGCCTCTCGCCCAGAACGTTAGCTGGAGATAGGCACCAACAACCCTCTCAACTCCACTAGGGACAAGGGTGTATAGAAAATGGATGGATGGGGAATTTTTAGTGAGTAACTATTTACTTGTAGTGAATTCCTGACTCATGAATACAAACACATCTTTCTTTTGAGCAGTGGAGGTGTTGTAGTCATACTGCAGGGAAGCAGAAAATCATGGATTTGTAAATTCCCAGAAGGTCAAGTTATAAAAAAAATATAAAAATGCTTAATTACATGTATTTTATAGAAACAGCGTAGGGTGGGAAAAGTTGTGAAACTCTTGATTTTGTGAACGAAAAGGTGGAGGGAGGGTTCCTCACTGACCGAATGCCCTCACGTGGAAGATTTTTCTCAGGAACTTTTCTTTGAAATCTCTCAGAGACCGAGAATCAAACAGGCTGTCTTTGTGTCTCGTACTCAGAACTATTTTGCTGGCAATTCAAAATAAGACTAACTCTGAACCCATGTGACAAATTCACAGCCAACCCGTCGGAGATAGTGGAGGGCATGTGGCTGGGCGTGACGGTGACCAGTCAGAGGAGCCTGAAGGAGGGACGCGTGTTGGTGAGATGACTCCCTGTTCACTGCACTAATCAGCGCCAACAACATCAGGCATTCCAGTGATACCAGTGAGGTCACTGGTATCACAGCTCAGGTCAACCTCTGGTGTCACCGGTGACACAAAATGGATGTTTCATGAAGTGTCTGTTTATTGAGGACAATTCAGAGAGCAGTGGTTCTGCACAGACCTTTCACTTGCCACTGTGAAAAACAATTACATCCTTGCAGACAATAAAAGTCAAAGCAGAGAAAAGAGGAAGGAAAATGATTCAGTAAATTGGAAATAAGTCCTGATGAGTCTCATATAACAACCATTAAAAATGTATTAAACATACTTTTGAAGACACACAGAAGATGATTGTTGTTTTTAAAGATAGTTTTTCTGTTGGTCTGATTTAATCTTCTAATTTTAAATGTTGTGTTTTCATTAGCCGTTAGCATAAAATGACCATGATTAAGAGGAATAAAGGTGTTAAAACATCAGCCTTTGCCTAGTTACATAAAGATGCGATGCGTTTCCCTGGCTGATGTAGTTACTGACATAAATTAACTTTCTCAGTAACATTCTAATTTATTGAATTGGTCTATATACGGTATGTCATAAGAGTGAGTAGATTTTTATGACATCGCTAGCTTTAAAACCGTGGCTTCCTGTTTGCAGGCGTGTGGGCATCGTTATGTGAAGATCAGCACAGGCCAGAGGCGGATGATCGGAAAATGCTTCGTGAGGAGCAACGATCTGACGTTTGACATCAACGATCTCTGGCAAACTGATAGTTATGAGCGCTGCAACCCTGCAGACGACCACAAGAAGGAGGGAATGTGCAACCTGGGCATCTCCGGTGGCATAACTGAGACTGATGTCGTCCTTGGCGCCACGGGAAGCAATAACTGGAAAGGTGGGGAGCTGGGAGCTGCTGGCCTAGCTCCAGTCTGGAAACCAAACCATTTTCCTGTCTTGTAATTGTCTGTTTGCTTTGCTTTAAAGGGAATGTCCATTTAACCTGGAGAGATCCAAATCCAGACAACTTTGGAAACAGTATTCAGAGAACAATAAAGGATGACAAAAAAAACAACATCTATATTGGTGAGTTCTTATTCTCTCATCATTTCCATTACAAAGGTTCACAAAACTGTGTCAATAATTTAACTAATATAAAAGCATTATTTTGTAATTTTGGTGTTTCTGTTAAATAAGAAACGCAGTTAAAATCACACGTGAAAATGTTTGTTGTTGCCGTGCCATCATCCTCCAATCTCTTCCTGTTGTTTTCTGCTTTGTGGTTTGCGGCAGTAGTAACATCTGGTTGTTGATCATGTGACTTAGGAGTCGGGGAACATTTTTTTTCCATTCCCATTTTGTGAAATGAACCTAATTGATACGGCCAAAAGAGCCACCTCATCCTAGTGCCAAAACGTATCCAAAAATTAGCTATTTTGAAATTGCCGTTTTTCCCTTAAGCAAATTTATTCCCGAAATGTCAAACTGTGCAAGTTTCACTGTTTTTATTTATGATTCGTGTGAATGAAAACACCTGCTTTGTTTTTCCAGGTTATTCAGTTGTTGAGGAGCGAAAACTGCTGAGTCGTGACCACAACACTGTTGTGACGGGGTCCCCCAGGGATGAGTCCAAGGGCTCCGTGATGTTGGGAGAACAGACTCAGGACAAAATCCAGATCATCCACACCATCCTGGGAGAACAAGTGGGCTCCTACTTCGGGAGCAGCCTGGCTGCCACTGACCTCAACAATGATGAGTATGTCTGGGCTCAGTCTGTGGGGATTCTAACTGTTCATTTTTACGTTCATCAGTTTTCCACCCAGTATGTCCAGCTCCAATCCCTTAAGGCTGCAAAATGCCACTTTTATAAAAACATTTTTTTTTTACATATTTGTTGAAATTATCACCATGTTTTCCTGTAATGGTAAGCTGTTTCTCCACCATTAGGATACTGAGCAGTGAGTACATGGGTATGATTTACAGCACTAAGACCCACCTCCTGGCTCTGATTGGTTGTTTTTGGTGCAATTATACAGACTGCAATAGCAGCTCAGGCAGGAGGTGGAGGAGGTCGGTCTTTTCACAGATTATCTGTCTCATATTAAGAAGACAATTAATTTGCTATAAAAAAATAAATCAAAAAAAGAACTGGTAACATTGTTGATTTGAGAGAAGAATGACACCCCAACTCTTAACCTGAGGGGAGGACCAGAGTGTAGAACCATTAAATGAAGGGGAGAATCTGTCAGTTTTGGATAATACAGGATTGGTTCCTACAAGGATGATCTCAGTTTTACCGCTCTTCAGTTTGAGGAAGTCAGAGGTGAATCAGATGGTGTTGCAGATAACCAGGAGGTTAGGGAAGAGGGTGGGGCTGTGGAGTTTGGCTGACAGGACAGATAGAGCTGGGTGTCATCCATAGCAGTGAAACAAAATGTATAATTTCTGGAAAAACAAAATACTACCAAGTGGAAGAGGGTAAATGATAAAGACTTGGGATCTCAGGACGGGGCTGTGGGGGACAGCTAGTGTGAGAGATGGGAGCAGACAGGTTTGAGTTGAACAAACTGGAGCTTCAATGTAAACATGTGCCACACATTTTTTACTCTTGTCTGTTAATTACAAATCAGTTTCGTTCTCCTTCACAATCCTGCTCTACTTTGCCTTGGTCTGTCATATAAAGTCCCCGAAAAACTACATTGAACTTTATAATTTGAAAAAGGTTTTGAAAATGTTTAAATATTTTTCTGATATTTCGTTTGTTTTTTGTTTTGTTTTGTTTTGTTTTGTTTTGTTTTTTCCCATCCCAGCTGGAACGACCTGATCGTTGGGGCTCCGTTTTACTTCGACCGTAATGCGTTGAGCGGAGGAGCGGTGTACGTTTTCATGAATGAGAACGGATCTTTCCAGAGTACCTGCACCATGAGACTGACTGGTGAAGTTTTCTCTGGGTTTGGCACTGCAGTCGCTGCCATCGGCGATGTGAATCAGGACGGATTTCAAGGTGTGACCTTCAAAATATCGTTTGTATCACATTTGTTTCGATCACTTCTAAAGCTTAGCTTAAGGATTATTTGTGTTTTGTTTAGTCCACTGCACAAGAAAAACTTAGTGCAGGAATTCTATCCTGGTCAGGAATAGTATTTGTGATCAGTATTGTTTCCTTCCTTCTGCAGACTTTGCAGTAGGAGCTCCTTTTCATGGAGCAGGACGGCTCTATATCTGGATGGGAAGTAAAACTGGAGTCTCCCAGCAGCCCAGTCAGGTAACATCAGTACTGGTTACTGTGTACAGTACGCTTGGAGCTTTTTAGTTAAGGCATTGTGATTAAAGCCATGTGTCTCTGTTGCCCTCTACAGATAATTGAGGGAACGTCAGTGGTCAATGGCAACTTCCAAACCTTTGGTTACTCCATAAATGCAGGCATGGACACTGACAACAACGGCTACCCGGACATCTTAGTTGGCTCACTGGATGAGCGTGTAGCTCTTCTAAGGTAGAAGAACAGACATATCTATGTGGTGCCGTTTGTGAAGTTGTCAAAAAATAAGTTGGGTTATTTAGCTTGGCTGAAGGGAAAAAAATGGGGGTTCATTTTTCAGACTCATATTTTCACCATGTTATTTATTCATTTATAAATGTCACAGTCTCAAGCTGATTATTTAGTTAGCAAGCCGAATACTTAGCTTGCTAGTTAAATATTGAGTTTGGAGATAAATAGTTATTTAATTAAATATTTGGTTTGAAGCTAAATATTTAGATTGCTAATTAAGTATTTAGGTTTTAGCTAAATATTTAGCTTCACGCTAAACATTTTGCTTGCTATCTAAATATTGTGTTTATAGCTAAATATTAAGTTGGTAAGCTAAATATATGGGTTAATAAATTAAGTAGTTAGCCAGGTACACATTTAACTTGCTAATTAAATATTTAGCTTGCTAACTATCTGTAACACTTGCTAAATAGTTAGCAAGCCCTAGTTAGCTTACATGTTAAAAATTTAGGAAGGTAAATATTTAACTTGCTAGTTGGATATTTAGCTTGCTAACTAAATATTTAGTTTGGAACTCAGGATTTTGTCTAGAGATAAATATTTAGCTTGGATCTAAATATGTAGATTCCTAAGCACAATCTACCAAATCCTAAGAAGAATAAAAAGAAAGTCTCACTTTCACTATTCTGGATTTTGACAAATTTAACTGTTTTTCTGACTGACCTAACAGGGAAAGGTCAGTGAGAAAAACATGGCTGTATTTGTGTGTTTCCTTTCAGAGCTCGCCCTGTCATTCACCTGACCACAGACTTCACTGCTGAGCCCAAGATAGTGGATCCTAAGAATTGCCCTGCAGCTAATCCATGGTAATGCCTCTCCTGAAATATCAAGTTATGAAATAAACCTACACAGTATGATTTTAACATATTGTATGACTTCTATACTTTTACAGCATCTCAGTGAAGGCGTGCCTGTCGTTCACGCTAAGCAACGGAAACAAAGACTTTAAGAAAAATATCAGTAAGACATTCTCACACACAATCTGCAACTTGAAATAAAAAGCTTTAAAAAAAGATGTCTTCAGAAACAGCTTGTTGATTTTTTTCTTTTTCTGTCTTTTTGTCACAAAAGATATTCCTTGCGAGGTTGAAGCCGACATGCTATACCCTAAAAAACCTCGAGTCCAATTCCAAAACGGTGTCAATAAATTCACCATAACTCTGACCCGGCCGTCTTCTAGTCCCGTCTGTCACGTCCTAAAGCTAAGTGTTGAGGTAAGGATCCCACGATGATTGCATGTGTTTTACATAAATACATTATTTGAATGTTTTTGTAGTTGTCAGTTATTTACAGAGCTTTGCAAACAGGATTTTTTTTTCACACTTTGATTATGTTGAAACACTGATGTGAAAACCTGAGCCGATATAAATATCCAATATTAATGTTGTTTGAAGAAAATGACCACAACGCTTACTTCACCAATCACTTTCACATACCATATGACCAAACTCCCCCTCTAGAAATAAATGCCAATTAAATGGAAATAAATATCAGCTGTTGATATCGACCCGTTTTTATCTATCGGTCCGATACATTATGTTGGGACTAATATCGGCTGATACCGATGTTGGTGCCGATACATCGTGCATCCCTAATCACAGACATAAACTTTTTTGTGTTTAATTGGGATTTTATAAGGTAGATTATTGTAAATTACTTCAAACAAAAACAAACAACTAATCAATAATTACTGATATCGACTGTCATGAAACGCTTATATTGAGATGCATTTTTCAGCCATCTCTCCCAGCCATACCCAGAACACACAGTACCCATGCTGATACATGGCAGTGACAGCATCATGCTTTGTGGATGCTTTTCTTTAGAAAACCTGAATATGAAGGGTGTGAAAAAAAAGGCTTTCATCTTTCAGGAGTATGACTACGGCAGGAGACTTAAAGCTGTAACTGCAGAAAAGGGATTTCTACAAAGTACTGACTCAGGAGAGCCGATTCCAAATGTACGACATAGTTTTTAGGTTTTTATCAGTAAAATTTTTCACAGTCATGTCAAATTTCTTTCTACTTCCAAATTATGCCCTCTTTTGTGTTGATCCGGTTACATAAAATTCCAACAAAATGCACTGAAGGCCATTAACGTGACAAAATGTTTAAAATAAGTCAATACTTCGACAAGGTGATGTAACCTTAAAACATTTCTGTCGAATTCTTATGAGTTGTTATGAAATCATGAAAGCTGCATGATATAACTTATAACTTTTATTTTTCTGCATAATTGCTAGAACTGTCACTAACTGTCAATAATTGAACAAATTAAGATCCTCTCCCTTTTCCCAGTGCTAACAAGAAACGACCAATGAGAGCCAGGGGGCGGGACTTAGCGCTGTCAATCAACTTCTGTGTGGCACTTCTCATCCCCTCCTCTCACCCTTTACCCCTTTGCTCCCTGCTACGCTGCAGTTAGCATAGCCTGTAGTGAACGCTAAGGCTAGTTGGCATGGCCACCGATAACAGTGGATAAACGGTTTTTCTGTAACTATAAGTTGTTTCTCCACCATCAGCACATTTAGCAGCGAGTACATAAGGTTGATTGACAGAGCTAGGACCCTAGGATTGGTCGTTTTTGACCTGGAGTGTTGCAATTCTCCAGATGGCCACAGTAGCTCAGTGAAGAAGTGGAGGAGATCGATCTTTTCACAGATTTCCACTGCTCAACCGCCAAAAAATGATCAGGAGTTTTTGCAACTGTTTTAGGGTCATATTGATGAGCTGAATCCAAAAATCACGTTGGTTTTGCTCAACCAGGACAACTTTCTGAACTATGGAGCAACATGAGCATCAAAATTCATGACTTGTTCTCACATATGGATTGGTTTCCTGAGAATCTGATCAATGAGTGACGAGGAGAAGGAGAGATTCCATCAGGACAGAAAAGAGACGGAGAATTTTACACAATGAAGATGTAATGTTCAATTCACATGAACTTACCATTATCAGTGTTTATGATTAAATTTACAAAAGTCCAAGTTTGTAACATTTAATTAATACACTCTGTTAGAAAACAGAAAAACTTTTTTAGATGAGAAATATTAATGGAAACGAACTGATAATGTCACAAAAATGTCATCAATTTAGTCAGAAGATCAGATTTCTCTAAATCTGACCTGACTGAGAAAAATTGATGGATTTTCAGATTCAGCGGTACAAAATAGTCCTAATGCCGTTAAAAAAACATAGAGGACTTCCAAAAAATATTATTTTGTAACTCAATGTCATCTGTCTCATAAACTGTCACTCCAAATATGGAGTTTTTTCAATATAAAAGTTACAGCTGTAAGGATGAAATGGAGCTAATAGCGAAAATTCAACCTGGAAGACTCCATCCCCTCTGTTCGTTCATCGGCGTCATGCTCATCTCCGACCTCAACGCTGGACCTCACCTGGCGTGTCCAATCATCAATCAAGCTCAGCATAAAAGGATCCACACCCAAGCTGTCGGCCACTTCCCAGCTGCGGTCAACCCACCACCTCCCCTTCTCCACCCACATCCTTCGGCTCTCCAGGATGGCACCCTTTCCAGACCTCCACCACCAGTGTCGGGCCCCGGGGAGAGCATCCCTAATTGGTTATCGGGATGTTCATCGAGTTCACATCAAATCTCAGCTCAGATCAGCTGCCGGGGCCCGAGCGCCAAAGAACTGTTATTCATTGCTGTCATTAAATCTTTTAATTGTTCCTTTTTCTTCGTCTGAGTCTTTCCAGATTGAAATAACACATGGGTTAATTGACAGGACCGTGTGAAGGACAAGCTGGAGCCGGTGGTCTTTTCCCTCAACATAACATTACCGGAACACGATGGCAATGCCAGAAGCATTGAGGATCTCTACCCCGTTAAAAGCCCAGAGCAGAAACTCACCCAACGAAGTGTGGTACAGAACAACATCACTCAGTTAATGTGACCTTTTATCCCCAACCTTATACGTTAGCTGGGCTGTGTGACTAAAATGCTCTCCTGACCTGCAGATAAACTTTCTGAAGGCGTGCGGCTTAGACAACAAGTGCACCAGTAACCTGCAGCTGTCTGCACAGTTTGCTCACGATAACGGAACCCTGGTCAAACGGTAGACAAAACACTCTGAACCAAAAATCAGATTAGAACTCATTGTCTCTTTAAGACTAATGTTATCGTGTTGCTCGTGTTCAGGAAGAAGCTCGCTCAGGTGCTCCAGTTCGACAAGAGTTTGAAAAGGATCAAGCTGCTGGTGGTGGTTACCAACTTTGACTCGTTTGGAAAGGTGGCGGAGGACGCCCACCTGGCCATGCTCAACGTTTCCATCCCCAACGCAATACAGTACTCTGGCGTCAGATCTGACGTAAGTCCACCAGAGGGCAGTAGAGCTCTGGTAAGCTTGCATGAGGGATCCGTAATTGCTGTTTAGAAAAGTTTTATTTTCCTTTTAAATTACAGGGATGGAAAAAAAAAAAAAAAATGAAACGAGAACAAATAGTCACCTAAAGTCTCTGAGTCATACTTTCTTTTTTTTTGTTTTCGACCATGGTCTGTGCAGAACCCTGACGTAGAATGTCGCTTTGATGTGACAGTCATGTGTGAGCTGGGGAATCCAATAAAGGCCAATGAAGAGGTACATTTTTTATCTTGTTTTTCAGACTAAGTTTCTAGTAAGCAAAGTTAGTCTGACAGTATCTCATTTTCACTTTTTGTCACATTTAAACATTTTATACAGTTAAACAAAAAGAAATCATTAATTGAAGTCCATATCATCCTGGACATACAGGAAGAAGTAATTGTCCCCTGTCCTTACTTTTTGTTCAGTTTCACTGGCCAGTAACAAAGAGATTACCTAAATAAAACCTTCCTGACATCAGTTAAAAGCTCTCAAAAAGTAACATGTCATTGTCTGATCTAGACACATTTAAGAAGAGATGAAAAACAAAGTCCCTGCCATCTATCAGTGTGAGAAGGGTTACAGAGGCGCTTCTGAGGCTTTGGGGCTGCAGCAGGAAACATAAATCATCCATAAATGAAGAAAACATGGAACAATGTTGAACCTTCTGAAGAACAGCCTCCATACCAACATTACTCCAATCAATTAGGAGGTCACAAAAAACCCAGAGCCACATCTAAAGCACTGCAGTCCAGGGTTATGATAGTTTTCGGTTTTCCATTATAGTTTGGTTTTGTTTTGATGTGACTTTTTGTTTGTCTAATTCATTTTAATTAGTTTTTAGATCAATTTAGCTAGTTTTTACTATTTACTGTTAGTTAAACATTGTTTAGTTTTTATTAGTTGTAGTTTTAGTTTTTTCATACTTTTCATCATTTTAGGTGTAGAATTCAAACAGATCAAAGTATTGTATTGTGGTTATCTATACATCAATTGGGCAATGAGAATTCAACAGAGAATTCAACAGAATATATAATTTTTTTTAAAAAAATGTATTCAATTATTGTTGTGCCACAAGTGATTCTTGAGTTTCATTGCTAGTAGCTGCCAGGAGTATAGATGAGTACTGTAATTTGACAACAGCTGATGTAAACTGTTTGTGTGGGTGGGGAAAAAAAAGGATTTCACATCCTTTTTTATTCTAGTCTATTTATTGGCCTTTTAAATAAAAAATACCCTGACCCTAACCCTTTTAAATAAAAGGCCAATAAATAGACTCATAAACACAAAAACGAAGGATATTGGATCAATAATTTCAGTGTTTTAGTTCTATAAACACGCAATCATAGTAATTCCCTATTAATTACCATTTTTATTTATTTATTTATTTCAGTAAATGAAAATGTCTTCTCAATTTCAATTTGTGTTATTTTGACTGTTTTAGTTAAGTATAATAGCCTCTCTACAGGCCTCACTTACCTCAGTTGAGGACTCCTAAGAGTTTTACAGTGCAGTTGGTATGAGGATGAGGGGATAACATAACATGATGCAAAAAGATGGTTTTCCATAATACTGCCTGCTTGAGGTTAAAGTGGCAAGTTTACTATTTGGATAAAAGTAAGAACTATTACCCAAAACACACAATCAATCATCCCATTTGAAAGGCATAAAATTAATAAAAACAAACTAAGTCAAAGTTTGATTTTTGGTCCAACATTAACCTCTGCGGTTAAAATGAGACAAAACTGCTAAATCTCAAGAAATCTTTTCAGGAGGTAAGCCCTTTTTGCAGCACATCTAGTATATTTTCTGTCATTTCAGGTGTCGCTGCAGCTTTTATTTGAGACTTCGGGCATCGATCTGTACACGACAGCCATAGAGATTCAACTGATGCTATCAACGTAAGGTCTCAATGCAGCAGCATCTTAATGGTCTGGTGTTCACTGAAGGCTAACAGGGATCTGTAAGACGCTCATGGTCTTCAGTAGCTGCTTCTGATTCTAGTTCCTTTGTGTTGTAATGCCGTTGATCTGTTCAGTCTTAGTGAGCAGAGTGACCTGAGGCCGACCATGGCAGCCCTGCAGATTGAAAGCATCATTAAACCCTCCTTTTACCCGTGAGTGTGGTCTCCTAACAGCTCGTTATGTGCATAAACAGTGCCTTAGTTGCAAAGCTATAAATATGCTGTTAACCTTTCAACATTTTATCACATCACAACCACAAACTTAAAGGTATTTTGTTGGGATTTGATAACTACAGACCAAGAAAAAGGCTGTAGGTCATTGTTCAGTAATGAAAAATGACCAACAGCTTTCAAAGGTCTTTTGTAAATAATAATCTGGTGTGAATTTTATACTGTAGTTTCTGGTTGTACTGTCAAAAGGTTAAAGGTAATTTACAGTACAGAGCTGACCAAAGGAACTGTAGTTAACAACACACCCTGTACACTGTGTAAAATTCTTCTTTGACTTGTTCAGGGAGGACTTTGAAGAGAAAACTAAATTTGGAGGGACAGTGAAGGGAGAGTATGCTATGCACAACACCAGTGATGTCGGCAGTCTGCTGGAGTTCACCTTGAATGTGAGTCACCTCCTCAACTGTATACTTAATCCATAATATGTATGCTTTTCACCCACAGTTTCCTCATCCACACCCTGACTTTGAAATAAAAAAATACATTTATATTATGTGGGAAAGAGAACTTTAATTGAGCCTTGTCTTGTGGTGTAAGCATGTCCAGGGGTGGATGCTTCAGTGCTTAACTCTTCTTTCTTTAGCAAAACTGCATCTGCTTGATGTCTTGAATATTGTTTTTGTAATCCTGGAAACTTTTGCCACCAGGTGGATATGCATGACGAGCCCCTGGGAGATATGGGGACCCTTGCCGTAGAGTTTGATTGGCCTTTTGAAGTGTCCAATGGGAAGTGGCTGCTGTACCTGACAAAGATTGTTGTTAATGGAGAATCAGAAATGGACTGCATCCCCGCCGGAGTGATCAATCCGCTTAACCTGACTGTAAGGTTCTGTTATGGCTTTGGTTTAAATGCTAAGTAATTTCATGAATCTGTTGATATCTTTTGAGTTTTGACTGATCTTCCGGTGACAGCTAAGCTAAGAAAAGTAACCAAAATTATATTTTTAGTACCAAAAAAAAATAATAATTTTTGGCTACTCAAAGCACATTTTCACAGGTTGTTGTTATGCAAAGTGATCCCAGCGGTCCTCTTCCTCACTAACTTACCCAATCCACAAAAATATTTTCCCATAAAAGACAAGTGGTTATTAGTGGATTACACAGGAATATTGTTTGTTGGATGTGTTTGTGAGAACTTTGTGACCTTTATTTACCGTGTTCAGGCAGGAAACGTACAGAAAAAGAAGGGAGTAAGAGATGCAGAACCTGGAAAGACTTTGGTAGAAAACTATTAGCCTTCTCATAAGGGGCACCTGTCATATCATAGACAGTTACATAAATAATAGTTTCAGCTAACTGTTGATAGTTTTCACAACATTTTAAAAATGTTTTAGTGAAAAAACTCAAACATAAGCACCATGCTGACTTAAATGTACAGAGGAATTTTTTGGGGGGGGGGAAACCGAGAAAGCATGGCAGATTGGTGCAACCGGTAGGAAAACACAAATCATTAACGTGCGCAACAAACAGACTTAAAGAAAACCTCAAAGCTACAAAATAAAAATAATGAAGATCTATAAGGAAATCCACCCACCTGGCACAAACAGCACTACTGCTCATATTCTTCCCCTGTAAGATTTGATGGGGTGCCCTAGTCCTAAACGTCCTCCACCATGCTATCACCACCATGCTAATTTCCAAATGTTACAACCACACTGATATTAGCATGGTTCTCCCTTCAGCATGCTAACTTTTGGTCTTTGCACTTAAATATAATGCAATGAGGCTAATAAAATGGTGCTATAGAAGAAAATGAAAAGTTTACTTTTGTCGTCAAAATATGTTTTTATTTTCATCTCTTATATGTAGCTAAAAAGTACATAAGATGAAGTTGTGTTGAACTAGCTTAAGACCTCCAGTTAAATTTAGCCTACATGGCTCTGCCCACTCATACACAACAATGTTTTTAGAACTGCAGTGAACTGAAGAAGTCTAAATGTTAGTGGTGAGTGGTGTTAAAATGGTCTCAGAGCCAAACCTATGTTCAGAAATACTCTCAGGGGGAAAAAAACACAAACTGTGTCACCACATACTGACCTCAGAAATCCCCAAATAGAAGCTCACAGTGTCTGCAGCCTACATATAGGCAGTGGAAATGATGCTGCTATTCTGAGATGAATTGTCATGAATGGTCATGTTTTTATCAGCACCAATAATTACCAGCAGCACTCTGATGTAATGTCTCTGAACTTCCTCCTTTCTTTCATCCACCCTTCTCCCTGAAACGACTTCCAGTTGTCAGAGAGCCGACCCAGCCAGGCCAGGTCCAAACGGCAGACTGACGAAAACGACATGGAAGAAAAGATTCAACTCCAAGTCGATGAGCCACAGGCGGCAATCACCCTCCACCCCTCTCGGAAAAGCTACGTTTTGGTAAGCTATCAGTGGCAGGTCTCTTCATTTACCCTCATCTATTCAACAGATTCTTAAGAACAGAGAATATATTAAAAAACTTAAATAAACACAATTAATTTATTAGAGGCAATGTAGCGTTTTATTGTCATGTGGGTAGCTTGGCCTTTCAGAATGGGTGCCTTTAAATTATATAGGCAATAAAAATTCATTTCATCCAGACTTTAAGAGAACAGATGGTGATACTCAAAGTATGCAAATGAACACTCAGCTGTTCATTCTTCTAATGAAGACTCTGAACCGACTCATGGGGAGACAGAAGCCAAGTATAAAAGACACTAGCTGCGCCTACAAATGTGTGTAAATGGCTGTCACAATCGCTGTGTTTCCATTAAATAAGAAACACGAGCAAAATCATGTGAATAAGTTTGTTCATGTGAACAGTCATCAAAAATCATATCAGTTTTGGATGTAAGCAGTTACATGAGATATATTCATATTTCAGCCATGGTGCTAGCGCTCATCACCTATCACCCAATCAAATTTGTATCAAAGTTGCAATGGAAACACTTTTTCTGCACACGAGTCACATGATCAACAACCGGACGTTAATACTGGGGCAAACCACAAAGAAAAAGATGACAGAAAGTAGTAGGAGGATGTTGGCCTGACATGTTTGTTAATGACACGTGAACAAACTTATTCATGTGTGATTTTTAATTGCGGTTCTTGTTGATTGGAAACACAGCAATTGTGAAATTGTGCTTTATTGACATTAACGGAATATAGACAAAGTTTTGCGCACGTCTGTAATGGAAACACAGCAGGAGAGTCACTTTACTTCGGCTATCACAAAGTTTCTGGGATCCGACATTTCTGGCTGGGACCTTCAAAACCTTTTAAACCCTGAAAGAGGGTTAGATAAGAGTCCTTATCTAAACCCTCTCTAAGTTCCAGTGGGGTGAAAACATAATGAGCCTCTCACAATTATGGCTACAGCTGGAAAATACGTTTCTTGGGTTTTACAAACAAAGAAGCAGAACTTATTTTCCAAAATTCCACTTACAGGGAGTCGTCTCGTCTGTTGGTGCTGATCCAATGTGTTTTTATCAATTTCAAAGTCGGTGCAGATGTCGACCCAGATGTTTGCAAACACTTAACACTTCCCTCTCACGCGCAGAGGCACCGCATGATGTTCCAGAGTCCGTCCGATCTGCAAAATACCTTACTCAGCATAGTCTGATGCAGATAATAATATGTTGACAATGGTGTCCTCAACCTTGCTTGAATCTGACGTGCTGAAAGTCCCCAGGGCCCTTGATCTCATCCGACTGACTTGTATGACACATGTCCAACTTGAGGCCCAAACCCGGCCCACCGTAGCTATCTATGTCTTTCTCTAGAGGGCCACAAAAACACAACCTTTAATTTAGCAATTGTCCCTCAATATTATTTTATCAATCAAATCAAAGTAGTTTTTGACTGTGATACACAATGTGATTCATACACATATTTCTCATTAGCATAAAGTAAAAATATTACTTTGTATAAAAAGCAAAAAAAATATCATCTTAGAGCTTCAGTTTTTGTACTGAAAAGCAAAAGTTTTGAATGATTCTAATTAAATTCTGCATTTAAAAAATATGTCGATACGTTTGTGTTGTTGTGAAAAAGCTTTGTCCTCCCTCTGTCCTGAAGGACTGCTCTGTGGGGACGGCGAGATGTGTGAAGTTCACCTGCCCTCTGCTCAACATGTCCAGGACGGCTAAGATTCGGGTCCGCTCTCGCTTGTGGAACAGCACCATGCTGGAGGTCTGCTCACCCGGCAAGATTTGCCCAAACCTTTCCACATGCTACATCTTTGGTGTTTAGAGATTGTTGTTTTTTTTTTTTTGTTTTTTTTGCAATTGCAGGACTATCCCAACGCTCTGAGCGTTCGAGTCAAAGTTCGTGCCACACTGAAGCTCATCACGGATAAACCAACCATCAAGATGGACGCTCTCGATCTGCCTGTACGTGTTGATGATGACGACAACGACACTGTCGATTACAGAAGTTTTAGCACAGATTAACTTTGGTTGCTTGTATCATTTCTTGTAGCTCACAGTGTATATAGAGCCAGAGGAAAGTGTGGAGATACCCTATGAGCTCCCGCTGTGGATCATAATTTCTGCAGCTGTAGCAGGACTTTTGCTTCTAGGAATCATCATCCTTATCATGTGGAAGGTGAGACGACTCTGGGTTTTAAATGACACTCTACAAAGTTCCATGTTATGTTTTGATATCCGATACTATTGTTGTTGCCCATTTATTTCAAAAGGGACAAAGCACATCACATAATATTCCAGATTATTATTTATTCATTTTTTCTCTTACCTGCACCAGTAAAGCTTTTATATATCTATACCTATTTATAGGCACACTTCTAGTTTTTCTGTGTTATTTTTTTTTTCTGTGTACTCCGGTAGCCAAGCAACGACATTTCATTTACATGTTCTTTGTGCAGTGACAACAAAGTCTGAAGTCTAATTAGTCATAAGAATCACATGATCAGTGATTATTTAGCAGCCATACTTTTAAGTCAGTAGAAAACGATGTTTTAGACTCAGTCGTTCTTACATTCACTGGTATTTCATTGAGAAGCGAACAGTTCACTGGAAATGAGTTCTGACCAAATGGATTACCAAACGTAACAGATTCATTTGACTGATTATTGTTCTAACCTTGCTCCTGTAACCGCTGCCCCCATTCTACCCCCCAAACAGTGTGGGTTCTTCCAAAGGGCTAGCAGGAGGGAGATGTATGAGGCCAAAGCCCAGAAGGCTGAGATGAAGATCCAGCCCTCAGAGACAGAAAAGATGATTGAGGACTACTAAGGCCTCCATGTGTTTTCCCGACAGCACTCACCAATGGGGCCTTTGGGTAAAGACACCCCTCAGAACTGATCTTTCTTTGTTACAGTGCCGGGCAGACAGAATAAAACCTCTTTTCTTTTTTTTTTCTTTTTTTACATTTTGGTAAACAACAACCACAAAATTCAATGTTTTGGAATTTTAGAATTAATAAACCAACGGAAAGTTGAGTAAAATTGTGAGGTGAAAGGAAAAATATGATCAATTTTCAATTCTTCCAATAGATTCTCAAATTGATTTAGGCCTGGACTTTGACTATGCCATTCTAACATGAGTAGGCTTTGATTTGAACCACTCCCATCCAGCTCTTGATTGTATGTTCAGACTTGCTGCAAGGTGAGTCTTCACTTTTGGTCTTTTGGCCCCTCTAACAGCTCCATCCATCTTCTCTTCAACTCCAGCTTGAGTAGCCTGGTCACTGATTGGTTGAACCAGAGAGCGCGGAGAGAGGAGGATGTTAGCGTCTGCTGTGATGCTAAGACGGTTTTCGCTTTATTAATGCATGTTAAGGCATGTCTGGTGCTTTAACTTCTAAAATGGGCGGTTGTGTGTCATTAGTCTCAGGTCCTCACAGATTTCAGCTTTTTGCAGGTGTTTCTGGTTGCTAACCTCTGCAAATCCTGGGACTGTATTGGTGCTTTAATAATTAAAAACTAATAATATTAAAAACTTAGCAAGTTTTCTGGGGAAAACACTGCATGCCAGAACAACTCCAATCTTCACTGGTTCTCATTTAGGGATAATAGAGTAAAGTTGACAGACTACCAATTGGCAACATACCTTTTGGATTTGTAATTTACAAAAATAGAAGATATAATTATTGAACACCCTGAATTATTTCCCTTTCACTTCTCAATTATTTGCCCCTGTGTGTTGGTCATAACAAATCTGAACAAGACATGTTTGTGGTTTTAAGGGGACAAAATGTAAAAATGTTCTTGAGTTGTGAATACTTTTGCAAGGCACTGTAGTTCTAATAATCTCAGGTGAGGCTCCTTTCCCCACTGGGCTGTCTGTCCCCTCAGCTTCTAATTATTCTAACTACTAAATCTTCCAACTTTCTTTCAGGCAGATTAAATCGACTTCCCTCTTGACTCTTTGGGTTCTGTTCTTCTCTTTTTTCTCCTTCTTCTCCAGCAGGCCGTCGCTGCTAACAACCTGTTTCTCTGCTGCCCTGTAATCCGTAATCTCCTCTGTCGTTAATCCTGTCTCTCCTGTCGTTTCTGCTCATCTTTACAGCCTTTTCTAAGTGTATTTATATTTCTGCTGCTTTTCCTCCGTCTTGCTAGCTTGGGTTCTTCAAGCGAGCCATCTACTACCGGGTAATGCCAAAGCACCGTGGCGTGAGAATTCGCAGAGCTGAACGTTATCAGTTCAATCCGGGATTTCAGCCAGAGGAGCCACAGAAAAAGTACTGGATGACCAGCTGGACAGAAACGCAGCATTGCTACTACTGATGCCTTTGAACCCCTCACTGCCACAGAGAACACTGGGCCTTACTGAGCCTGACTGGGCCAGACTGGGCCTGGCTCGGCTGCAGGGACTTAAGTGCATGGACCTACTGTGGATGATGCATTTCCTGTTTTGTTTTGTTGTTTTTTTTTTCAATTAGTATTCCATTTTCTGAACTTTTTCTGTGCAATATGCTGAACATTTGGAGAGATTGTAATTTGTTAAGTACTTTTTGTTGAATGCAGTGTTGTACACTGAAATCCATGTTGCATCCAGAGGTAAACTTTTGTTATGTTTTTAGGTATTAATGTGTTAAATCTGCATGTAACTTGTCATCTTTTTTAAATGTTTTTCTTTTTCTTTTTTTTGCTCAGTCTCTCAACATCTCTTTGTGTGGAGCCCCCTAAAGGACATGAGGGGAAATGTTTTCTTTTGTGTTACCTTGCAGAGGTATTGCATTCACACACAATAAGTTTTTAGTATATTTAGTAGTCAGATCATGAGGCATCCTGAATACTGAAATTAATTATCTAAAATTTTATATCTTTTTTTTTCTTTTTCAGATTAATGCACCAGGTTTCCATTCTTACTCTAAAACAGAAACTTTCTATCATGATTGAAAGAAAAAAAAATACATCCAGACTCTTTGGACTAATTTTGAATTATTTTCACAGGGTGTTACCAGCATCTGATAGTCGTTTTCATGTGCAGTCCTGATTTTAGATCAATTTTCAACCAGTTTTTTTTTTACACCAAAGAGTTTAGAACATATAAATTTGTTTTCACTCAGGATCTTTAAAGGTGTTCTTATATACAAATTTAAATTGGGTGTATTTATTGTGAGGGAACACACAATCTGAGGGAATGCAATATTTTTACGAGGTAACACATAAGAAAAAACTTCCCTTATGTCCCTTAGGAGGCTCCGTACTTTTGTGCATTGTTATTGTTTTCTTTTATATAATCTCCAAACAGGTCTTGGAGGTCTAGATTTTATATTTTGACAACATCCACTCCGTTATGAGTTGTTGACTGTCTTTGCTTGAATGTCAATGTTGGAAAAGCATCACAAAGTCTGGTAATCCTCAGATGCAGGATAATTTTTGTTATATTTCTGGTTTTATATTGCTTATATCACTCACATTTTAATTGTCCTTCATAATTTCCACATCAGGTTTCACCAAATCGGCAGATTACACTTGATTGTTAATTTATTGCACCATGCTGAGCTAACACAATAAACAGATGCAATGTTGATATCTTAAGCATCTCAAACAGGGAGTCTGAACACTGGAAATGCTATTTGATTGTAAGAGTGTGGATGAAATTGTACATAATAACAAGTTAAACTGACTGAATGAAAGCATGTTTCTGGCCTTTACTCTCATTTTTCCATATGAAACTGTTGACCAACACTGGAACCATGAATTTCAACTGCAGCACTGGACAGACAATGGTCTTTATCTGTGATAAAATGTCCCTTGGAAAAGTTAGACTACGATATAATTTCTGAATTAATTTTTCACCTTTAATGTCTAACTGCCAGAGATGGGAATAAATTTGGGAGCAGCATCTTGAGGTTCAAAACAAGAAATCGTTCTCATTTTAATGAGATATAAATCTTATGTTGATTTTGATATAAATCTCATATCTTCTAGTCTAAAAAAGAAAGGTATTCACAGTAAATACCCCTTGGGATGGTTAAATATCATCTAGAAGAAACAGAGAGAAGGAGGATTCAGAGGGAACCCTTTATGCTTTTTAAGAAGTCGTAAACTGTCAGAGGAGCGTATTTTATATACAAAAATTAGAAACTTTCTCACTATACTAGGTTTTATGTGTCATTATGTGAATGTTACTGCTCCAGCCTAGTTCTGGCAGTTAAATGCCTACATATAAATATGACCCACATATTGTACAATTCATTTGATAAATACATTGCTAAAAAAAAGTAAATAAATAAAAAATAAGATGATTCACTCAGGTTTTCTAACTGTGCACACCCTTAAATTAATACTTTGTTAAAGCGCCATATCCGTTTATTTAAAAGTGATCTTTGATAAGGCTTCTGCTTATCCAAGCTATCTGTACAAACAGTGTACTTTTGACATTTCTAGAAGTTTGTCGCTATGCTAAGCCCTTTGGCTATGCTAAGCCAAGTTTTGCAGTCCGCTGTCAATGCTTTTCTTTACTTAAATGCAATTGGCCACACCCTCACAAGAAGGGGAACCAATCACAGTCGCCGCTCACAGCTGGGATTTGGAGTTACGTCATCTTCCTAAAGTGTCGCGAGCTCACCTCCGCCTTTGGTTCAAACAGAATGGGTTCTTTGCACGTACGGCGTTGACGTCATATCTGCATGATGCGGATGTGACGGCTCACTTGTTTCCGCTTTGAGTTACTATGATAGCTAGAAAAGACAAAGTCATATTTCAGACGCAAAAAAAAAGCAATACTATGAACATTGTTCTCTTCCTAATATAATGGGCTTTTAAGCTTTCATTAATTTCCAAACGATCCTGAATTAAGAAGTCGGTGGCTTGTAAATATTCGTCGCTACCAGTTAAAGCTAACGCCGCACAGCAAAGTTTGCAGCCTTCACTCCGGATCAGCTTCTTCAGCCTAAAACTACCGGGGGAGACGGATGGTAAATAAATTAGCCGTCCCTGAGTTATTTCCATGGAATCACTTCTGTATTCAGCCTTAAAGAGCGAGTTTATGGGAACTAGTGAGCAGACCAGAGCCAGACACCCCAGCTACTGATCCGCCTGTACACACTGCTGTAAACACCGTCCTATCTGAGCTCTTCACAAGAAACATGCAAAGGTAATAAAACGAAATAACATGGAGACATTAAGCAACACGGTAATATTTTTCTAAAAGCAACAACTCTGAACCTGAACAGTCAGCTAAACCATATCTCTGACACCAGAGCTGCGCTACTATGAGGCTTGTTGTAGTGATGGGCTATCTGAATCCAGGCTTCGAGGCTTGTACCGAGTAAAAAGGGGGCGTGGCCGATGAAGCCCCGCTTCGAGGCTTGCGTTGTCTTGCTGAAAACCACGTGACTGGCAACAAACGAGGCCTCGCATTGCATGGGTCACGTGACTGCTTCATTTTGCGTGTCGGTTTTCAAAATAAAAGCGCGATGACCCTTGCTGTGTCATGGGTTGTTGTCCATTTGGTCACGCATCAGAGGATATTTGTCTTCAGTGGCCAAATAAAATGAACATTGACCAACATATTCGATGTGTATTGATGATGGCACTCATCAAAATGTTTGTTACTGGTTTTCTCAATTGTAGATTATGTTGTTTTTTAAATAACTATATTTTTGTGATTTTATGATGTAAATCTCTCTGAACTGGATTGTTGCTGAAACCTGCTACACAAATAAACTTGATTGTCTGAAATGGAGCCAGCAACATCTGACATCTGAGAATACTTTGAGATTATCCTCACAATAAAATTCTTCTTAGATAATAATTAACCCTCCAACTCCCAATTTCTCACCTTCTGCAAAGTTCCACTATTATCTGATTAGCAAAGATATATCAGTCTTGCACAGCAGAAACAGATTTAATGCTGTTGCAGAACTAAAATTCAACATGTATCCAAATATGAGGGATCAGAGCCAATTAGAAATCCAAGAAAAAGTGAACGCCCCAACAGACACTGCACTCTCAAGACATTAAAACATCAATTGTCTTTATTGTCAAATCCGTCTATGATATAAAAGAAAACCCAACACAACCACTGATGTTCAACATAAACCAGGATTAGATTGGTTACAAATAATTGTAATAATTAAGACATCTGACAATTAAATATGGTTTCATTGATTATCCTGTTACTAAACATGAGTTTGATATAAACTTTGACAATATTGCATTTAGTAATTTTTGGAAGTATGATCCAACTGAGTGACAAGACTGTTAGTTTCACCAGCAGATGTCACTAGTGAGCAATGAATCAAGTAATGAACCTTTTTGCAAAGCAAAGGGCTGGAAAGGTTCATTGCTTCATGAGGCTTCATTTGCCCATCACTAGCTTGCTGTGCTTCGTCATGCTTCGGAAGTAAAAAGCCCAAACCGTTCTTGTGAGACACTTACGACAATAAACACACACAGTATACCTGAAAATGAGGTAAAAACATTGTCCTTTAGAATGTTTAGATACTTAAATAGCACATTTATACAACAACAATGTCCGAGAATATTGCCTACTAGCATAAGCTCAGGTTAATGTTAGCCACAAAATTAAAGAAAGTAAAACTCACCTTCGTGTCAGTGAATGTATAACGAGGCGTACATCTTTACCGTTCTCCATCTTACTTGTTAGGGCTTCGGATCGATGTACATACCTCGGCCAATCCCTGCAAGCACCTAGTGTAAAATGCCATTTTCAATAGATCGGAAACAACCGAGCCCTTTTCCCCGAATGCGGAAGCTGACATGCAAAGAGCCCATTCGGCGGTAAAGTCAAGCGGAAAAACCAACACACTCGTGACCGTGTCTTAGCTTCATAAGCTTTTCTGCCAGTGTTGCAGTTTGTGGAGATAAAGAATCTCTCATCTGTTTTTCTTAAATAGATTTTATTGCATTTTTATATTGAAGTTTTCACAGGTGGTGTAGACTTTGTGTAGCAGAGTGGTTTTAGCAAGTTCCAAGGTTCTGTAAAAGCACTCAGAAAACAATACAGCATCGTTCTGATATCAGAAAATACAACTTGTACTTTTGAATACTTTTATATTTTTAAAAGTCATTATTTCCGTACTTGAGGAAACTTTTGACTGAGCAACTTTTACTTGTAGTTGAATAAGAATATCTTAATAAGCAGTTGAGTTGAGTATTTTGTCCGCCACTGGTCACAACAGACCGGAGCACCACTTGCTACCAACAAATCTCCAATCAATCTGTCTACTTCCTGTTCTGTATTACTATTACTCTTGAGCAAGTTGCCTAGATACCTAAACTCCTTTGCTTTAATCAGAGATTGACTTCCAACCCAGAAGGGGCAGTCCACCTATGGCCTCAGACCTAGAGAAGCTGACTGGGTTGAATCGTGACCTCAATGTGGAGGAGGGTTTGTTTATCCCCATGATCCTGAAAGACGTGGACTGAAACTTTGGCTTCTGTCTCCCATGGCAAACTGGGTTGAGGGGAAGGGTTGGACTGAAAGCGACTCATAGAGTCCAATAATATGGCGGGTTAGGGGAGACCAGGACACGGGGTCTCAAGGATGAGCCCAAAGAAACTACAGGAAGCACCGCTTATTGGTGGCAGTTGAGGGTGGAAGCCTTGGCATGCTAGTTCCTGGTGGCATAATCTGATAAAGCACTTTCTGATTGAATTTCAGGATTCCGTTGTAGTGTCTTACTTGGTAGGAAACTTTAGTATACCACAGCTCGACTTGTCAATATTCTGACAAATACCTCAGTTGTGGGGAGCCTCAGTTTTCCACAGTTCTGCTTGGGTAACCCCCACACATTTTCTGCCAGATTTAGTTCTAAAGCTTCCTCTGGTGAAGCCAGATTTATTTTTATTTATTTATTTTACATCCACCTCAACCGCCAATATCACTAAAGAATGAATTCCATTTTCATTTTTCCAAGTAGACAACTGAAAGTTTGGGATCAAACCTAGTTGGTATTTCAGTTTGTTTATAATTTATTCCATTTTGATAAAAAATTCTCGTTTCAACTGAAGAAAAGCTGAGAACATGATGCTACCTCAACCATGCCTCACTGTTCTTTCAGTGATGTGCTTGTTTTTGTGATAAAGTCGCCTCTTGGAATTTTGGTCAAAAGTTAAACTTTCGGTTTCAGAAAATCATGATGCATTTTCCCCACAAGGTTTTGAGAGGTTTTAGAAAGATCCAGATATATTGTTAGAATAAAATTTTTTGTACCCTTTTCCTGACTGATACCTTTAAATATTGATATCATTTTGATTCTTTGCATCCTGAAATTGTCCAAAAGGCAAAAATAAGCAAACTCCCTACTAGAAGAGCTGAAGGCAGAATTCAATCTCTTTATTACAGAAATAAAATCAGATGTTAAAACATGTTTAAACAATGAAAGACATACATTTTAAAAACATTTCCTGTTTTAAACTTAAATATTACAAATAAATTACAACTAATGTGTTTTTGCATTGCCAGACAATAATAAATTGAATACAAGCCTAGAGTAAATATACAAATGATCAACCAGAAAAAATTTTTGTTTTTCTTTACAGTATGAAATAAAACGAGTTCCATGGTCAGATTTTTATATTCTTTATTCGAGGCAGGTTCCATCTTTTAAAATAAATGACTTAAGAAAATTACCTATAGTTATATTTTACAAAAGTTCAAATACACTTAAAAATTTGTAATATTTTTCAGAGAAACAAAGTCAAAATAAATCTACATATCCAGTTAACTATTTTCCCCGTTGTCCACACACAGTTTTTAAATTTGCACACTATTTATGTATACACATTTCTATATTTATTGTAATATATTATTTGTTACATAGAATTATTTTGAGTGTATTCATAAAAGGTAAGGACAAAATGTCACATTTTGAACAACATAAGGATAAACTTGTCCAGTTCTGGTAAAGTACACATTAGAAATATTAAAACATATTTATCATGAATCCAATTGTTAATATTCAGCTTGCTTAGATTATTACAGAACTACTTTGAAGTAAAAGTAATGTTTAAGGTCAAAGCTAAATAACTTCTATGCCTTATTACCATAAAACATCCCAAAAATAAATACTTTAATTCAAAGCCATCAGTGAAACACCAGATTTTTTTAAATTAAAGATATACTTCTTAGATAGTATAAAAACATTTAACATTAGTTCCTATTTATATAAACTGACGAAGCAGTTTGAGATTCCTGACATTCAGAGTCATCTTTCAGTGTGGGAAAAAAAAGAAAAGGAATAGTGAACTGTACAGGAAAATTGTTCTCTGGCGTTCTGCAGCTGTTCACATTGAGGTTGGCTTTGTGGTTGCTACGATAAAATCAGTCCAGACTTACAGTACTTCTAGTCCTTTTACTTGAGCTCCATCATGGATGAGGACTTATTACGCTTCTTGGACTTCCTGTACCTGTAGGCGAGTTGGATGATGACCACCAGGAAAGCCACGCTGAGTGATAGCAGTAACCACTGACCAGCTATGGCAGCGTCCTTGTCCACTTTCAGTCCCAGGAACTCAACTTTCTCATCATCATTCGTTGCAACTTCAAAAAAAGGCACACATAAAGCTAAGAATTAATGAAAATATAACATATTATATAGATTACCAAGCAGTGGACTCTCAACTACATGGAGAAGTTTGTCATGAATTTAGCATTCGGTTTGTTTTGACCTTCTCCCAGTAAGAATTAAGGATCCACCAAACTGATTTTTTTCACTTCCGATACAGATATCTGAGGCTTAGAGAAACAGAGCAGAACTGACTTGAAATGTTTCCCAGAAAACGGACATAAAAATAGTGAATTACAAATTTATTTGATAATTGTGCACGAGTACAGCATAATTAAATACAACAATAACTTCTCAAGCTTGGTCAAACATGTAAACACAACAGAACTTTAATTTGCTCAGTCATTGTAATTAGGGGTAGGGGTGCGCTGATGGCAGTTTTCCAGGCAAAATGTTGTTAAATATAGCAAAAACGTTGTTAAGTTGGCAACAGTGGGTTGACTTTTTTCCACCCACTGTTAGTAGTTCTGCACTACTTTGTGTTGGTCCAACACACAAAATCCCAACTAGATACACTGAGTTCTTTTATGATGCAACAAAATCAGTTCAATCTCCATGCATTTTTATAGCAGGAAAATGCATGACTGAATAATGCCATCTTGTATGCTGATGAGTCAGCATACAAGATGGGGAACACTCACTGAATACTGCAGTTGTTTGTGTGTGAATGCCTGAATGCATCGATCATACCTGAAGGTCTCCAGTTGTAGTCGGGCCACCCACGGACCTCGTTGTTCTTATTGTTCTGCTCCTCCAGCCATGTGATGAGAGGTTGGAAGTACTGCATGAGAGGCTGGGCGCTCATCTTGGACTGACCCGTGATCATGGCCATGGCTTCCGGCCATGGCTTACTGTAACCGAGCCGCATCACATCCCTGTAAGTGGTGATGGTCAAAGCAGAGATCAGGAGGAGGAAGATGAAGGGTTTGTTGTTGA